TCCTGTGGCTGAGCACTTTTTTCTTTTCTTTCTCTGTTATTCACTCTCTAGTTAAAAACCAAAAAAAATAAAACAAAACATTTCCCCTCTACCATGAATTGGCCTGTCACTTTAGTCAAATTGGTCTAGCATTATAGTTTTACACTTATCTCAAGACACTACACTCACAGGCATGTGCATATGCACAGACACTGATGTTGCTTGTGGGCGTGGACTTCTTAGATAACTTAGATAACTCACAGGAAAGTGGCAGTAGCTGAAGCTGCATTCAAGACTCCACATTTTTAGTTTGCTTTCAACCCAGCAATTCAGTATATAAAGGGAAATTATGATGATAACCAATAACCAATAATAATAGATGATGTTTACTAAAATTTTACTACACAGAAATGTTTTAAATATGTTTTCTAAAATATCAACAGGGCTTAATGATATCGTTTTCTTCAAGGTAATACTTTAAATAAATAAATAAATAAATATTTATATAGAGTTCTTATATTGTTAAAAAGCTCACTGAATTGCATTTATATGTCTAAGAATATAACTAATCTACTAAATTTGGGCACAGGCCATGTAGAAATGAATTTATCAGCTTTATATAGTACCTACTGAAAAATTTTTCTGCCAGGTGTTTATATTTCATAGGCATTTGGTGATGTGACACCATGGACATGATGAACACACGTGGGCTATGCTCACTATGCAGCAGAAAGCAATGGTAAGCCACTGCTGCATTTTCTTTTCTCAATCTTTATTTTTCTTTATCTTGAAAAACCTAAGATGAAACCATTCACTCATTCATAGGGTCACCAGGAGTTGGAGCTGACTTGATGACACATAACAACAACAGAAATATTTACCTGTATACAATATAAAGTTTAAAGCTTAGATGGTACGACCAGCTATCCCATCCTCATCTCTATTTGGATGTATGTGTGTAATAGGCACCTCAAACTCAACAGATCCATGTCTTAATTTTACCATTTCTGCCCGCTTTCCACACATGCTCCTTCGCTGATCTCCCTCACTTTGGTAAATGACACAAACCAGTTTCTTTAGCAAAAACCTATTTAAGTGTCATCCCTATCATACCTCACAGACATCCAGTCTATTAACAGGTACGGCTGGGTCAAAATGTAACTCAAAGCTGATCACGTAACTCCATCCCCGTCACTCCAGTCAAAGCCCTGACCATCTCTTACTGGTTTACCACTCCAGACAACTACACTCTCCACTTGTCTTCCTGCTTGTACTTCTGCTTTCCTAAGGACAATTCTCCACATAGCAGCCAGTGAAACTGTTTAAAAATGCAAACTAGCATCATGTTATAACACTGATCAAAACCTTCCAATGGCTCCTAAAACTAATGAAACCAAAGTTGTTATCATGGCCTTAAAGGTAATATATGATTTGGTTCTTGCATACCTTATTCAACTCCAGCCACCCTGCCCTTCTTGCTGTTCTTCAGATATGCCAAAGAGATTCACTACCTGTTTTGTACTTCAGTTCTGTTCATGCTCTTCACCTAGATAACCTCACGGCTTGCTCCCTTCTTTTTAGGTTTCTGTTCAACCTCATTTAAAGAATAAACCACCCCATCACTATTTATCTCCTTCCCTGCTTTATTTTTCCTCCTAGCACTACCTGACCATATACAATAGTTACTGGTTTCTTTTCTTTCTGTTCTCTTTACCTAGAGCACAAATTACAGTGAGGATGGGATTTTATCTTGTTCACACTGAATCTCCAGTCAGTACATGCTACTGAATGAAAATAAGAAAGTTTGGCAAAATTTAATCTCTATTCGTTGAACCTAAAATATTAGCAACCTTATCTGTTTAGAAAAATATATAACAATAATCAACACTATCACCTCCAACTATAAAAAAGCCTTTTTACAATAATATGAATCAAGTAATATTGGTTCATGTGTATTTGAAGGCTTAAGATTAATATATCAAAAGTATAAAAGGTTGATTTCTAAAAGACAAGGCATAAAAAAAATATTCTTCTGAAAAAAGGACATTGCTCAGCATTCCAGAACATTATTTTACCTGGAAGTAATTATTTCATTATTACTTAACAATAATTCCTTTGCTTACTTGCCAATATCTTGTGTCAAGTTAAATATTTTTAACTGTTTCAAGTTTCATTTAATTTAACTTTGAAACATCAAATTATTTCGATATTAAATATAATTTAGTAAAAATTTACACTACAAAGTAAAAATAATCCATATAGGGTTTTTTAATTCTCCCCTCCAAATTACCCACATTTCAAGCTTCTTAAAATTTTTATATTTACAGCTAAACATCGCTGGTATTAATTAAACAGAAACCATTTAGAAAAATCATTTAAGAAAAAAATAAGTAAATCTATATACAGTAGTATAATTTCAACTTCTATGACAATATTTTTAAAAGATAAATTCTATATTTTTCTAGATCTCAAGATAAGTTACACTAAGAATCACATAATTACGAACATACAGTTTTATAGGTAAACACTATCACAGAGTAGCCACTTATATCAAGTAAATGGGAATCACAGTAAAATCAAACAATTTAACAATTACACTTCAGTAAATAGTTACAAGAACATAGTATAGATTTCGAGGTAAATGCTAGCTTTGACATTACTGAATTCAACATTGGGGCTTTCAACATTTGTTAGAACTGCAAATGTCTATGTTGATTAGTAATTTGTAATTTTGCTGTGGCATGATTTTGAAACATGCACAATGAGTCTAACATGGAAACAGGTACTTGGAACATTCAACATCCCTATTTTAGAGAGTTAAATTTTGCCAAGACCACTGTTCTTTGTCCCCTCAGAGCTTAAGGTCTATACTCATCGTAAGGTTATAAACTCTCATGAGGTAATAGTTGAAAAAATTAAGAAAAGAAAAAAACCAGGGCACTAATCTAACTCATATATAATTAACATTACAGACAAGTAACCCTTAAAAGAAAAACACATTGCATAGCACCTAAAAAGTTGAAGCTCAAAATGATTTTGGAAATCATTTAAATAAATGGAGTCTTTCATTTAGCAGATGGAGAAAGTGAGGCCCAGAGAAATTACCTAGTTTATTTTATGATTTAAAATCCATTGAATTATCAAAGGTAAATGAGTTTAAATGTTTTATTTCATATACATATATCCAGGGTTCATCTGAGGCTAGAATATCATGCTCTTACCTATTTAGAACCTACTACATAAAATATGTATATTTGTTTCCAACTTCTAGGTCTGTTACATACATGGCAGTTCTGAGAAAAGTTGCCACTGAAGAATGGTCCAATTAGTTTTGTTTCCTTACTGTTCCGACTCTCTCCTGAATGATGTCAAATTTCGCACTTTCTTTTTCTCATGCACTGCTCTTTTTCCAATTGTGCTACTCTCCATGACTCAGGAAATTTCCATCCTCTCTATAAAACAACCCTGACTTACAAAGTCTGTAATAACCTCTTCCCTCCAAGTTTCTATTAAAAACTAGCAGATTAGAATCATATAATTTAGTGCATAATTTTCTCTAGTGATTTCATGTATGTTAACTTTATTTCAAAGTAGACTGTAAATTTCTTGGGAACTGGTATCTAGCTAGCTTATCCTTCTTTTGAATTCATACGTTTAGTGGGAGTTCAATGACCAGTAGAGGAAGGAGTGAAGATGCTCTAAGACTTTTAATTAGAAATGAAGATCTTAGCAGATATTAAAGTCAATCAACCAAGCAACCAGGTATTTTTGGTACTCACTATACAGCAAAAACAGTAATTATGAGAGAATCAGAAAATAAAAGAATAGGTTTTTGCCCTCAAAACCTTATAATCTTTTTAATGCGGAAAGGCACTTTAAAATTAGAAAACAGTAGAGCAGAGTACAATTAAATGTGTAGACAATAAACCCTAGGAAGAAGAATGAGAATGTCTTATTACTAGCATTACGACTAAAGAAGTCACGGAAATTTTCAAGAAATGGCACCTGAGACACAGACTTTTAGAATAAAGATTCTGAAAAGGTAGTACATAGGAAGGAACAGCAGGAAAAAACTCACAAAGTCAGTAAATAAGCAAGACAAGATTAGAGGGCAAGCATTAGGAATTACTAAACAGTAGTTGGGTAAAATTCTGTGGATCTTATTGCTAGTAGAAGATCATAGGATAATTTAGAAGGAAAGAGAACAATCCTGGGTTTTTAATAAGAAAGTTATCTGGGGAGAGCAGAATTTAAATTAAATCAGCTGTGTGAACAAAATATATTGGAGAAAAGGCAGACAATATAAAGAGTAGGAAAATGGGAATCAGGAGACTTGGCCTTATCCTGCTTTGGGGGGGTGGGGTGGGGTGTGTGTGTGTGTATGTAACTGTCCATTGTAATCTCAATGGGAACACAAGTTCCCATTTTTTAAATGAAACACCAGAGTCAACTCATTTTTCTAGCTTTAAAATCCATTGATATTAATTTTGAGATCATATCCTATGATCAAGTCAGGCTCATTCAGTTGTCAAGCTACAAGGTAAAGCTAAGGCAACAGAGAAGATTAGCTGATTATGAAAAACTTCAAAAGAATAATCAACAGGATTTCGTAGCTGAATGGATTTGAGAAATGAGAAAATTGGAAAAACCAAAGATTATTTTATGATGTCAAACTAGCTAGGAAAAATGTGGTTTCTCTGACAAAGAGCTAAATTGGAAGGGAGAACTTGTTGTGCTATGTGCTACTCTACCCTCTTCTTGAATGCAGGGAGGATTAAGCTTCCCCTCCCTGTTGTTCTATGTGTAACCTCAGAGTTTATATAAGACTTGTAGATGCTGTGGTTACCAGTAAAGAATCAGAGAGGATCTTAGTTTCTGGACTTCAGTTTATAATTCTGGCTAGGTCATTTTTACTCACGCATTTCTATTCACCCTGTACTTTTTGAACTGAGAACCTCAAAACTATTATTGACAATATTTTTATATGCCTGGGCAAATGATCTGAATTCAATAAAACTTACCTGATGCTAGGAAGAAGGGCGGTAGCTAGAGGAGGAGGAGAAAGCCGTGGAGGAATATCATATTCTTCACTTCCCAGGTGACCATTGGAAAGGACCTGAAAGGAAATCAAAAGGTTAGTTTAGATTTAACTTCTGGAGGATCTTAAAATAACAGCAGCTTTTAGAAAATCTATAATTTTGAAAAGAATATTTAATTTCAGCTTATTTAAACAAATGCCATATCATATAATTTACGTAAGAGTTGCAGCACCATAATGGTTATTCACCACCACTCAAAGTAGTACCAAGTTCTATGAAGGAAAGATAATATATGATTCTTAAACATATTGACAGGTAAGGCTATAATTTCTATAAATTAGATATAGATGGGTAAGTAAATAAATAGTAATATTCCCCAAACATGATCAGTTTTTATTGAAAAGTTAAATGTTCTCTGTAAAGATTCAGGAGAGAAAAAAGCAGCACTAGTGTGATTATTTCAGTTCCTCCCAAATAAAAGTGTTCTAAATTATATCTCTCTGGGGTTAACATAACATTTTTCAACTTCTCAATAAAACAGTCCATGAGTATAACCAGAAATGCCTTTGTTCTTTTAAGCTTCAGCACTACTGGTAACTAGAGACAACTTCTGGCTTTCAAAGTACAGGCATTTTTATACATAGTTTTCAATGTGTAAACAAACAAACCAAAATGATTACCTTGCTCATAAGGTACCATAGAGAGCCAGTGTTTAATTACTGAGAATTCAGAAATTCTGATTTCCAGGATGCTCATTACATTACAGGAACTGTCTGAACAACTGCTCTCTACTAATCCAACACCTTGAAACTAAAGCAATTTAAAAAGAGAAAAATTTTGCAGAGACATATTCACAAGAAAAGATTAAATATATTTTTAAGACTTAACTTTAAGTAATATTTAGAGTTTTATCTTTGGCCTCTTTCCCAAACTCTTATCAATATTTAAAAGATGTAAGTTGATGCTGAGGAAAAAGGATGTAATGTAACTTGAATAGTCCTAGGTAACCCAATCAATGACCTACCAATTTCTTTTTTCCCCTTCATATTTCTAAAATGGTGTTGAAGCTTTATAATACAAAATTGAAAAGGCCATATCCTTCTCTATCACCTTAAAATAAGAAAAAGATCATGTTTAAAGAATACATTTGAAATATGTCAGTTTGCATTTCAAAGCTACACAATCTAAATTTTTGAGCATTAAAATTTCATTCTAAAAACTGGCTCCTGTTCTATAGTTCCAATTTCTCTTTTTCATATCTCCCATGTTAGATTCAATATTCTATAGTTACATCGTAACAAAATATGTCTTTAAATAAAATAATTTTATCATAGGCTTCTGATTATGGACCAAATAATGAAACAAGGCAGAGTTTTTTGAATTTTGCTAGAGAGAAAACAATTTCAAGTAGATAGTAATCATTGCTAAGTTCAAAAAACCTTTAACTTGAAAAATTTCTTTTAACCAACAAATATATCAAACAATCAAACATTTGAGACAACAAATGTATCAAACCACAAATGTTCATTATGATAATAAGCATTTAAAGTCATCCTTAATTGGAGTCCTGTGAATGTTGCTGGAATAGGTACAATGTAAGATTTTTGCAATCAAATCTCTTTGATGTTTCAGTCACAAATATAGTTACAATTCATTCTGGAAAATGTAATATGGGTTTTACGTGTAATAACTGGTTTTATTAGGAGAAGTATCTAATGTCCTGTTGACACCTAGTAACATTTCAACAGTTACAAAAGGGAGATGTGGAAATAATAGTTTCTGTTGTATTGGCTCTAACAATAAGACAATCATAATTTTATATTCAGAACACTGTGAACATATATGAAAAGGAATATAAATATAGTAAAATGTTTATTGATATTAAAAATGCTTACATCTTGCACATTAGCTAAATAAAAGAATAAACATATTAATAACAGAGCATCCACATTTTGTACTACAAATAAATTTCAACAAGTCACACTGGCAATGGTGTCTATCATCGTTAAAAACCATGAAGCGGCAGACAGTGTTAATGATGTACTTTATCCTCTAGGAGAGTAATAACCTTGGAAAGTTAAGTGACTTGCCATAATTTTGTGAAACAATCTATTAATATGCTTTAAAATGCAAACAGCCTCTGTTTGCCTTAGACACACTGTTATTAACTCATAGTACCTCTAGGATTTCTCCTGTCTCTGAAATGCCACAGTATGTCTTTTCTGAACCATTCATTTTGTGATTGACATGTGCTGATATACTGCTTATGTTCTATGTAAGAGCATTCATGGTACACTGAATCTCTACCAGAACAAAGACTCTCCAATTTCCTCATTTTATAGGATATTCCTTCGGTGTTTTACACACAGTAAGGCTGAAATGAAAACTGACTGCTGATTGGCTTAGATGACCTTATTAATGAAGGCATTAACCAATGAAATGACTTTCCCAAGTACAAATGGAAGAAATTCATTAGTTTACTGAAATTCTCTCAGCAAATATATGCAATTTGTTTAATAACTGATCTTGCAAACTATTCTAAAATAGGTACTGAGGGTTAACAATACACCTAATACCAAATAACTCTTCATAATCTTTCCTAATTAGTCTGATTACCCATATATGCAAACAGCAAAGGACCTCAACATACAGGTAATAGTGATTGGATGACAAGATTTTACATCATTTCATTCTAAGCGCCATGTTCCCACCTGTACTCATTTCATTAAACTTAAAATCATTTTAGCTTCCACTAATGAAAGGAATGCAATAATCAAAAACTGTGATTTTTGGGGAGTGGCTCCATATTGTAGTGGTTAGCACGTCTGCTTTACACGCAGAAAGTCCTGGGTTCGTGCCCCAGGTAGAGCCACGGACCATACCCCCGGTGCACCAGGCCCCAGGTGTACGCCGCGAGCGTGTGGGAGGAGATGCCCGGCCTTCAGAGATCCAGTTCTTAAAAGGAAACAGCAACATCCATAGGTCAGGGGTGGAAGCGGGGGGATTTAAGAGGAGAAAAAAAAACAAACTGATTTTTTTTTTTTTTTTTTAGCTAAAAATAAGTATTTTATTTTCTCTGGAAATCTGAAAAGCTCGTTTGCAAATAGAACTGCAGCTCCTTGAATGTGGAGATTGCTAGCATCAACAGAAGCAGTTCGCACTGAAGTCTCACTAATTCGGGCCTTCTTTAACTCTCAGCTAAGGAAATATCTTTCTCTTCTGCCTTTCTAGCTCATCTCAAATCTACCACAATTCCATTAGACATGCTATCTACTTAAACATTCTGATCCTGTTGCTCCTCTGCCGAAACAAAACAAACAAAAAAAGCCGTTAAAACTCTTTCCTGTCTACCAAATCAAACATAACCTTGTGTAGAAAATAAGTCACTCCATAACTGGTTTCAATCTACATTGCTATAGTTTTATGTATCCCACTTACTCTTTCTATATGCCTTATATTCTGTTCAAAAGTGACTTCCTACACTATGTGTGTTTTCCCACCTCCATGCTACTCCTTCCTGTCATGTCTAAAAAAATAACACCTACCAACCTTCTAATGTCGACAGCCAGTGACCCTCTTACATGAAGCTTTCTTTATTCTTTCTTTACCCTGCATTTCTACTAGAATGCTTTTTTTTTCTTCTTCGGGAGCCCACATTTTATTTTCTAGATGTGACTCCTGTGCCTTATCTCTTAGTTAATGGTATACGTGTCTCACCCTCACTAAACTGTACTATTTTCATTTTGTATTCCCCAACGTCTTGAATATCTAAAGTACTCATATAGATGGAACAGGCTGAAGGAACAAGAATACATTAGGGGAAGTTTAAACTTGTGAAGGAAGTATAATCTGAGTTATCATATAATTTATTATAAATTCTAGGTTATCCTAGATTAACATTTTTCTACATGCCTCAAGATAGCATTTAATCCTAATCTTGAAATTTGAAATGTTTTCTTATGATTCAGATATTATTTAAAAATTAAGATTAAGGTATTTGGGACCCTTGAGGTATAGGGAAAACAAATACTTCTGTGATAATCTTGGCAGAATTAAGAAAAACCTTTTATTAGTACAAATTATAGCAACATTTTTGGGGTAGCGTATATGTAACTTTTATTAGTACAAAATCCTAACACACCCTATTTTCCCTATACCAGACATGTAATCCCACATATACACTACCCCAAAAATGTTGCTATAATTTGTCCTTCAACAGCATCCGATTAGAAATGGGACCAGTGTACACAGAGGACTTATGTTCCAAAAGACAGTTTTTGAGATTTATAGATAAGTTTAAGGTTGTTCGTATAAACATGAGTCTCACCAAAAGAGCAAAAGTCACAATCTCAAAAAGTGGAATCATTCGATGTATTTATCTAGCAACCTCTTCAACAATTATTATACACAAGGTCATTTGAGAATAATGTCATGTGAAGTAACATGACAAATCAGAGATAGTTTGATTTATCACATAAAAAACAACAGTATTCTTAGTCTTTCAAGAGGAATGAATAAAGATAGTTGGATATGATGTCAGTATCTAGAAACAGGAGATAAATTTCAAGTTTCCAATGGTATCTGAAAACATTTTAGTGCAAATATTTTCACCTCAGATAATTAAAACCAATTAACAAACAAAAGTAAATATCTAGCCGACAAAATATTTATTAGGAAACAGGTTTATAACATGGCTAGAACCTGAGAATTCAGAGAATGAAACAGTGCTATAGGGAAAAAACCTCTTACAAGAAAATAAAACAAGATAAATAATCCTAGTAACTCTTAGCTTGCAGATTCATGTTATTAAGTAAAGCATTACGTTAGCTATTTGATTATGGTAAGTGGGAGGGGAAAGAAAAGGGAATAAATGAAAGTCACAGAAAATTCTTACATTTCATTTTAACTATGAATTAGACGGCTTTTTTTCCTCAGAGCTCTCTACAACTAGCAAATGGAGTAATTAAAATTTGATTTATTCTTGTTTCCCTTACCATTTATCTAGTGAAGATGCAAATAAAAAGGGCAAATGGTTCTAATGGATGATGAGAACAGGCACACTGAGAGAAGACACATGATAACAGGGACTGAGTTGTCACTCCATTTATGGGGTATTTAGTTTTATGAATTCCTCTTATGGTATTCCATATGTACATTTAATTTTAATTTACAATTTTAGTACTTATCCAAGTTTTCTTATCTTTAAAGTAGGAAGGTAATACTTAAAGCATTACCTCTAATGAAAACAAGTCTAAATAGCAGTTGTTAAATTCAACACAAAAACGTATTTGTTTATATTTGGAGAGACCAATTATATCAGCCTCCAAATATCTAAATCCCCAAACTCTTAAACTTTAAAAAAAATAACTGCATACTAGGTATATAGGGTGAGAACACATTGTAACATTTACCATTTTCATTAAAAAGATGAGTCTTTCTTAAATCAAAATAATTTCCCTTTCCCTTTCATCCCCTCACCTTAGTAATAGACTCTTATTGTATGTCATCTACCTATAGAAACTACTACTCTTCTAAAGAGAAAAAAAAAAAAAAGAAAAACCTATTTTAAACAAGAAAATTACACTCTACTTTTGGCTGAAGGCCAGTGTTGGAAGAATATATAAAACCATCTGTACTGGTGTATATTATGGTCATCTTCTTCCTTCAAGTCCTTCCTGTACTACCCCCACCCACTCTAAACCCCAGCATGCAAACACTTTTTGCTTCTATCATCAGATTAAATATTGTAGTAATAGCAGGCAAGTTATTCAGTGCTTACCAAGTATTCACTAGGAACTATGCTAAATAAGAGAGGAAGGGACAAAAGAGAAGATGAGTTTGTTTGTTTGTTTGTTTTTAAAAAAAAAGGACAAGTATTTTGAATGAAAATGTCAACTGTTAAAATTTATTCTGAAACTCCACATCTAGCTATTATTTGGGGGTTTATTCCAAAATAGAGGAGGTGGAGGATTTAGATATTCGGCGAATAACTATTCTCCTAGATACTAGGTACAATTGTACGCACACATACACATAGAAGGTGAATACATGTTATATTTCACACTTCTTTGTTTCTTGAATATATTACAGGGCAAATTCGTTAACTGCAAGCCATTATTTTAAAGAAATAAATTACTTCCTTGAAACAACAATTTAAGATTAATAGAGATGGGTTCACTTTGATATTAAAGTCTTCAAAATAGGTAAGCCTCAATTATTTGATCACAGAGCCAGAAATGAAAGCAAATATCAGAATATGAGCAATTCTGCCAAGGGCCTACAAAGAATTCTACACTCAATGATTTCTGCTGCTATCTCTTTGGTTTCTTACAAGCTTAAATTCTTTCCTGGACATAAAAATGGTGGTGGTGGTATCCTTCAAGAATGTGTGAGAGCCTCTTTCAATTTTATGGAGAAGCAGTTTGCTTTGTAAAAATGACCTGGACTTGGTGCTTTCTTTATGTGAGAAGTTCGTTTTACCTGGTTGCATAATGTATACTGTACTAGGCAACAACAATTATAATGATTTATGATTGTTGTAATTATACAACTTATTTAAAAATTAAATAGAAAAAGGAGAGCTAAAAATAATAGTGTTAATTCTCCCATAAAATAAGGGAAGGCAAAATAAACCTCTGGCAAATTGTTTAGTGTCTTCACATTAAAATTAAATCATTACGCAGAACCTTTTTCTTGACTTCTTTTCAATTCAAGTTTTAATGAGTTTCTGATTATTTATATCTTGGAGATAATTACGGACCTGCAAGGAAGTACTGCACTAGGCAAAAAAAACAAAAAAAAAAACAAAAAACAAAACCACACACACACACACCCCAACAACAACAACAACAAAAAACACTATCCAACTTTTATACTACCTCCTATCAGAAGAGTTTAAGCAGATTATTTTGCTTCTGTTCTGCATATTTCTTACCTTGGCTCCTTCTAAAGGCAAATCATGGCGTCTGTGTTTCCGCATAAGCACTGGGTCAGAGCCCATTCTACTGTGTCTTCCGTTTACATTTGAACTTGCTGTGATTCCAGGCTTCGGAGAGCCATCTCCTAGGAGGCGACATCCCACTGACTGATTAGTCCCAAATATATCTCGAGGGCACCAGGCTTCAAGAGGCATTGGCTGGTCTCTGGAAGGCACACTATCCACATGATGGAAGTGACGGCTCAGTCTATTGTCAGGTGGGATAGGGGGAGGTCTTTCAGGTGGAGGGGGAGGAGGATCTCTTAAGGGAGGAGGTGGTGCTGGGAGTGGTTTATCTTGTTTTCTCACCATGCAAGGAGAAGACTAAGGAGACACATAGGGAAAAATAAACAAACAAATAAATAATTGTACCATGCACTGAAATGACTTCAACTAATATATTATTGCTTTTGTTTTCTAAGCAATAATGGAGCTTTATTAGATTCCTTATGCCATCTTTTCATAAGTTTCTTTTTATCACCAGTTAATGAAATTTTAAAAAGTTAATGAAAGACTCATAAGTGAATTTCATTAGGTTTTTTTTTTTGTAGAAATGAGTACATAAACTCGAATGTTAGAATTGCAGACAATACAGGAAAAAGTAGCAGGATACCCAAATTATATGATAATTTTGACTGGCTGACAATAAAATGATATTGAAAGTATAAGCTCCTGAATTGAAACTATGTGACTTGCATAACTTTCATTTTTATATACTTGGTTCATCTGATGAAAGGTTTGTGCTTTTGTCAGAAAATATTAGAGAGAAAAGGAATATGTTGTATACTTACATAATTCTGCCTAAGTAACACTCTAAGTAACATTCTAAGTTTTAATACGATCTTAAAATTAAGTTAACCATAATGTAGAAAAATTAACTACTACTAAAACATTGTGCTTACAACTAATTTTAGACTGTAAAGTATATTACCAAATGGAGTTATTTTTTTAAATCTTGTATTTAATTAAGTAAAATATCCCCTTATCAAATTTGGGAAAAAATCCACACAGAACTAAAGTGTGGGCTTAGGATTACAGAGTTAGAATTATGTCTTTAATATTGAACAGTAATGTAATTACTCAGCAAATGCTGTAATTCTTTGTAATTAATTGCTTCAAGTATGAAAAGTACATATAATTTTCTTCTGAGTCACCTCGAACATGGATGATAATTTATTACACCTTAAGCCCTTATGCAAATATACTTCCATCACATTTTTCTTGTCATGGCACTATGAAAATGAGTGTAAAATACCATTTGATAAGAGTATTTTAATATACATAATGGCCTTTTAAATCCACTTTACAGAATAACTGTACCTAGAGTGCTATTTATTTTAGCAAATTAGGGGGCTATTACAGACATGTGCTCTCTCTGAGTAATAAAGTAACTTTTCTAATAATACAGCAAGGAATATGATAGTGAGTTCACCATAAACAAAATGAGAAATCCATCAAAGTTGTTCAGAAACAATTAAGAGCACAGGAAATATGAGAAAAGAAATTTAAAAGAAGCTGAGTAATGAATAACTGTCATATAAAATTATTATCTGTGTTTTTAATTAAATCGATTTACCTTTGGTGAACCAGTTGGGCTGCCACAGGGAGACCGAACTATGCCTTTCTGAATTAGGTCCAGGCGAGGAGGCACGGGTGGCAGGCTCAGATGTGGGATCTGGAGAGGGTCCGGCTGTGGCTTTCTTCTCTGTGCCAGAGGGGAGGACCCTGGTGATGTGACTGGTGAATTCTGCCTGTCAGTGCACTAGAATAGAAAAAAGATAAAGAAACTGTTTATTTGATATATAAAGTGTGTTCCTTTCAATTCTTAAGGAAGACATTTGGTTTTGAGAAGGTGTCTGCCATTGAACATCTGTTGAAATAAATTCACTTAGTAACTCTGATTAATAGGTCAGAAAGCTCACATTGTCCCTCAAGGGCAGTATTATGTAAAGAATAAGTGGATAAGTTTCTCCCACATATTTCAAAAAGGGCTTAGGGAAAAAGACTAGCAAAAGCATAGTTTAAAAGCAATCGAATGCAAACATTCTTCTAGAAGCCCATCTACACTACATTTTAGGAAAAAACCAGAAACACAATGCAGTAATGCACATTGCTCTTAATTATCTGTAGTGTAGAACTTTCTTTGGTCTTTGATTTGTAGTTCATTCTAAAACTTAGACACAATTTTGTTCCATATAAAACATGTATCCAGCATGTAGTTTACTTCTTACAAACCAATTAAATCAGGCAGGGTTAAAAAAATTGTGTATTTATAATAAACAATTTTGAAACCAAATATTTTTTTCCAAGCCTTCACATGGACAAGAAATTCTCAAGTTAAATGTTTTTCTTTAAAAACAAACAAATCTAGGAAAGTCTATACTTCTGCTAAAAACTGATGTAGTTCTATGCTACTACAGGTTTTCAATCTTGTATGGTAGATAGCATCAAAAAGTCAATAAGTACCTCAGTTTCTACGTGTATAACCCTTTCTACTTTGGAATTTATTTTTATTGTGAAATAACCTGAGTGTTACTTAGTATAAAAGCCATACTAATTAATCAAATAGCCTCACTACGATAAATGACATTCTGTTCTGAAGTATCAGGTGGTATCCTTTTCAAGACTAAGTTACTAGCTCTTTAAAGAGCTAGGCTTAATTTTTACACCACTGCATTGAACTAGCATGCTTTGATATTCACCTGTTTCCTAATATTAGTATTTATAAAGAGTTTTAATGTTGTTAAGCCATTTCCCCCACCCTGACATTACTCACCTTTTTTATAAAAATAGTCTATGTCAACAAGTAACAATTTAATTCAAACTCTAGCAACTGTGAGAAAGATTTAGCCATTCTGTGTTTATCTGAGATGGGATAATAAATTTGTGTTCACATCCACACTTAGTTACATTGTGTAAAACATTCTTTCTAATTAACTAAAATTGGGGTTTTTTTTTCTGATGTTTTTCTTGTGATTAGACTGGGGTTGTTGGTTTTTGGAAGGAAGACCACAGAGATAAAGAAACATTTTAACCATATCATATCCAGGGTCCACACTATCAATATGATTCATTACTGCTGATGACCTTGATTACGTGGCTGAGGTATTACCTGTCAAGGTTTCTTCACTATAAAGTTCACTCTCTTTTCTCCCCTTTCCCTTTTTTCCCCTTTCTATGATGTTGTGCTCTGTAAAGAAGTCACTATGCACAGCCCACACTTAAGGAGTGAGGAGTTATTCTCCCCTTTGTAAAGATTTTTTAAAATAAATTTGAGTGGCTCAACAAGAAGCTTCTAGACCATATCTCAGAAATGCCTGAATACTGTAATGACATTGCTGAACTCTCAAGTCTGTCTCTCTTAACTGATGCCAAATAATTTAAAATAGGTCAATACATTTAGACATCATTTTATGACAATTTTAAGAAGCTTTTCTTTTTAGTAATTGCATGATTCTTTTTTTTATAGCTCTTACCTGTGATAAGGCAAAAAATATTTTCAATTGTTACTAAAGAAGAAAAAGTAGAAACTCCACAGTCATAAACTCATTTTAATGTAGTGATTCTTTACAAAGTAACAATTCTACCCAAAAAGTCATGGGGCCTCACATGGTCATGAATGTGAATCTTATGGAGTTAAATCAATCCCAAAATGGTCACAGACAGAAAAGAAAGAATTCCTGACGTAAAGCTATGTGCATCACAGTATAATAGCATTTCAGATCAGGAGATGTCACAGGACATCTAATTCTTTACAACTCCCATTAGGATCAATTACATTCTCTGAGAACTAGCAAAACTTACCTGATAAAAATACTTTGTTGATCTGGTTATTGTCCTTTACAAAAAAGACTCAAGAAGCAAAACTATCCACACAATTCCTACCCCGAACAATTTTTTATATGTATACAGAGAACACACAGTACTTCATTAATTTAGTTACTTGCACAGAAATTTTTCAGCGCTAGGCACACACACTGCAAAGACTGCTTAACAGACCTATGCTTCTTTACACACTTTTCTTCCACAACTACCTTCCTGCTCTCCTCAACACCTGAAACAGGAAGGGGAATTCTGACAGAACCAACAGCCCACCATCACCATAGGAGCTTGACTTCATTTTAATTACTAATATTTAAGCAATTACCAAATTCCTCTTATGTTAGATAATGGGATGGATTTTATTTAAAGTTGGTGAATTGTTAGATATCAAAAGGGTATAATGAAAATCCCTGAGACAGACATACAAACCAACATGTACGGTACAGCAGGAACCTTAAACTCCTTGGTACTTGCAGATGAGCACATTGTTTTACAGATTTGTGAATGTAACTGGAAGCAAACCCTGCTTAGCATGATTCATGTTATATTCTCAAGGTGACTACAGATTGTCCTTCTGAAAAACTAATTCATTTTGAAGCATGACAGTTTCTGTAAGTTGGCTTAGGTAGAAGCATTTTATGGAGAAAATATCTGTATGTGAAGAAACAAAAAACATTTTATCTTGATTGACTGTGTGGACTAAATTCACCATAACATCCATTTTCTCCAGTTCTCTTAAGTTATAGTAAGATTCCCATATAAGAGTAGATAATTTAACAGTCAATGCCCTTTAGACAGTAATGCATTACTTTTTGCTGAATCCTTTGCTATCCCTACGAACAATTCTGCAAGTAGTGTACTGGAACTTTCCATTAACTTTTATTGCTGGTAAAATTCAGTGCTATGAACATCTGTAAACATTTTTAGTAGATGGTTTTAGTAGATGGTAATATAAGAGGTCACTTTTAATTTATTTGAATAGTTACCATTTTCTTTTCTTCCTATTTGCAAGTCTTAAGAGGAAATAAGCCTAACACAATGCTTTATACTTCAGTTCATAATTAAATTTTTAGATGAAACATTAAAAATTCATGATATCAAAATTTACAGAATAGACAGTTTGCCATATTTTCCCTTCTGAAAATAAAGAGAAGGAAAATTGATAATGTAGATTTAAATTATTTCTTCTTTAAACTACACCTCTGTCTCTATATAATATTGGAATATTTAATGTCTTTTTAAAAACTTTAATTTCTAGAGTATCAGAATTTTCTCATTACAGGACGTTATCAGGTACAACAAATGTCTCTAAAGCAGAGATGTAACAAAGGGATGTAGCCAGTCATCTTTAGTTTACTGATATAAATTATTCCCTACATAGCTTCCACAAAGAGCTCCCTCAGTCCATCTGTATGCCTTCTTTTTCCACAGGTCTAATCCTCATCCAAAGATCACTTATGCCATTTATTTTTCTCTACTTCTGGTAGGCGATAAAGGGAGTTGGGGAAAAACAATAAACCTGGACAATCCTCAGGTTTAAATTCTAAGACTGTGAACTATGCTGACTTAATCACCTCTTACTGGTTTGTCCAGTTTTCCTCATAATCATTACCATTTCTATTCTTTATTGAAATGCAGATTTAAGACATATACATGAAACATCTTAAATAGAGGATTAGGAGAACATTTATTTAAATTTTAAAGAAATTTAAATAATAACAGGTAGATATTTTGTCGGATAGGGATACCCTTGATTGGAATATGTGAATTTCAAGCGTGGCTGTCAAACTAAGGTTCTAATGGCAACTGATTATAATGGATTTTAAAAAAACTCATATAATTAAATGTATAATCTGACTTCATACACATATATTTCTTATTTAATATTTAAATTTCAGCTAGAACTTTATAATGCCATGGTCTTGCACACATCACCACCTAGTGCTATTGTTTCCTGCAGATTATGGAGTAAGGTTAATCCATTTTGTGGAGACTTTATTGGCTAATGAAATTTAATGAAGTATGATAAAATTAAAGCTACTATAAAACATTTAATTTTTATTTGGGTGATATATTTTGATACAGAAGTGACAGATGTGATCTATATAACCTGTCTGGTCAAAACTTATTCATCTTCACTACCAGAAGATAACTATCAGAGGTATCTTTAAACAAAGTGTTCCCATCCTTATTTTTCTTTTTTGTCCTCTACAATTCCTCTCCCAATCAGGCCTAAACAAAGCAATGGTAACAAAATCAAATATCTAAACATATAGATATTTGTAGACTAAATTCGTAGAACGCATTCAAAAGTCAAACAGAAATGCTGCTTGGATTATCTGCTGTTATTAACACTGACCATTAGGATAAAAATCTAGAATTGAATTTAATAAATATTTTTATTTTTTCACATTGACCTAAAGAGTGTTTTAAATATAGAAATAACAAATAATAAGAGGAATAATAGTTTAAGAATAAGAGTGGGTTCATGAGTTTAGGGGTATAAATGTTGTCAAACTGTTTACTGTAATAAATGAGTTTTACCTGTTTGGGTACTCCTCTACTCCTGTTTTTTTAAATTATGTTTTCATTTAATTTTTTTCTTATTATTAACATAATTTCACTGCATAAAATTTTAGAGCTATAGGAAAATATAGAGTTGTTCTGAAAACATCTATACAGAACCACTGCTTATGGTTCCTAATCACGTATACAATTTTTAATCCACTCTATATTGGTTAACTTTATACCAAAAGATCTAAGCATTCTATATAAATATATATTTAAAGGGTTAATTATATGTCTATATCAATCTTAACTATTCCCTGGCTATGAACACTTATGCTGTTCTCAAGTTTTCTTGATTATAAAGTGATAACATAAAGAAGTCTTTGATCATATACGTTTTGATTTTTAAAGACAGAATCCTAGAATGTTTTG